ATAATTAAAATTCCAATTAACCAAATATTTATATAGGGAATTCCATAGTATTTCGAGACCAAATTTTTATACCGAGTTTATATTTTTTTAAATACTATTTATTTTAGTGATATTTTGTTTAACAGGAGAAATAAATACATCTCATATAAATAATGAACACTTTCATCTCCGACTAGATTCGTCCTTATCTACCTCTTGTGCATCCAATCGTCTCTCAAGACGTCGCGATTTGTCCTGCATCAACTGGACAAAGTCCTCGAGGCGATGGTGCTCCGGTACGTTGCAAAAAAAGCTATTTGCTACTTTACTGGTCGTAGCAAGCTGGCCAGAAACAAAAGGATTAGAGTTCCTTATAGCCGAAATAGCATCAGAAGCGCTGGCAGATAGCTGCCCTTCGGGGCCAAAGTTTACAAACTGGCCATGACCGGCAAGCATCGGTTCTGAGGCAGTGATGCCGGAGTTTAGAGCTTGTCCAACCAGGAGATTTGTTGCTTCCAGTTGGTCTCTAGTCAACGGAAAAGAGGGCTGGAGGATAGGAAGACCAGTCTGGGGCACATATCCTGCAGAAGATAGCGCAGGCAAGAAGCATGAGGTAGTAGGAAGAGAATTAGCTTCCATTATGTGGGGTGGATGTTGTGTTAAGCCGTGCAATTGGTAAGGCTGTTGAAAACGCATTTTTTGCTCGTTTTGCTGCTGAGGCGGCATTGTACTGGCTAACTGGTACCGGGAAAGGATGGAAGTTGCCGCCTGGTTTGTGGAAGCAAACGGAGCTGCACCGACGGGGAACGAAATTCCGGGGAGAGACTGCGCCCGTGGCACTGAGAAGAATAAGGTAGCAGGCAAAGCAGAGGACAGCGATAAGAAAAAATTATTAAATAAAATTTTGCTATTATAGAAAAGCAAATAATTCATCAGATAAACCTATATAACTTCCCGTTTAATACTTAAAAGCATTATATGCGTATTGTATAAGACTAATAAATAAAGAGGTTAATTTCATGACGACTGTTTCGAAAGTAGCTTAACTCGATTAAAGTTAAACATGAAAAAAAAGATAGATGGAATTATGCAATAAATACAAGAACATTTAAGTTATTATTTTCGCATTATTGTTTCTAGCTAATAAATAAAGGGCACATTTGACTGCTTGCGGAAACTCCAGCAAGACCGCAAAGCAAGACACAATTCTGGTAGGAAATGTGTGTTATCCTTGGAGAGAAAAGAGGGAGGCTAATCTCTGCAAGCAGATTTATACGAGTAACTATGTACTGGAAGCCACAATAAAAGGGCATTGAAAAAATCAACCGATATAACTCTGTGTAAATTTTTTGGTGAATTGGCAAAAAACTAGATCTTAATCAAGAAAATACAATTGAGCACACCTTTAAGTTATCAAATCGGCAATATAACGATTATACGAGACAGTTAATTTAAAAGACAAGCTG